CAATGAGAACCAGAGGTACCCCAAGCCCTTTTCTAGTGCAGGAACGGAGTTCAATTAGATGATCTTCACGCTACTTTATTACAAACACACTGACCATCAAAACTAGTCTCTCCTCATCCCTGTGATTCTTCAAAAGATAACAAACCAAAAGCATGATTTGTATTATAAAGGAATGTTGGTGAATGGTGTATTTGAAAAGCTCAGTCCGTATTGGTGGCAATTCAAGTACTGCAAGCATCCGAAATACAGGCTTTAACTCCCTAGTAACACAGGGAGTGAGAGTAATACAGCATAGATTAGTTTTAGGTGTTTGTGCCGTCTCACTCTTGCTACCACCACGTCAATTCGAATTCATATGGAACAGAGTAGAACTTCCCCTGTGGGCTTATGAGACTATAACTCTTTATGGGGACAGATACCCTCCTATTTCTCATGCAGAGTGGGCAGTGGTTTCGATCTGCTGACCTTGCAGTTAGCAGCCCAATGCGTAACTACCACACCACTAGGCATCTTAACATATAATCTTGTCTGTTACTCTTGGCACATTAGAGGTAGCTTTTTAATTTTACGGCTATGGATTTCATATTCTTTTGCTTTGGTATGTATCAGTGCTTTTTCACTATCCTCTGAATATTATGTGTCATATTTTCAGATTTACTGCTTATTTCATTCTGGTGCACTCAACCTGTTCTTAATTTTGCTTTAATCTTCTTTCTGTAACCATATAAGTAAATCCAAACACTGAATGGGTATTTTAAGCAAATTGTTGGCACATAATACACATATCATACAATATAATAGTTCAATCACTTTTTTTAGTTCACTCATTTTAAGAACTGTGCAATCATTATCACAATGGATTTTAGAATATATTTTCTCTTTTGTACTCATTGTTGTTACCCCCCATGCCCTCCCAGCTTCTCCTGACACATTCTAGATCCTTACTAAGCCAGTTATTGCCTCTAGAGATTTTCCTGGTTTGGGACAAGCTTTGAAGGCCCCAGACTAGTTTTTGTGATCATCCTGTACCATCTGATTTCTTCACCACACGTGCTTTGCTGTAGCACCCTTATCTTCCGTGATCTGTCCATGAAGGTGAGCATTGAGTAGGGTCATATCAAAAGACCTAATTGTTCTTAGATTCGGCCTGGGATTAAGTGTGAGCTCAGAGTCCACTCATATATCTATGGCTTATATATGTCTCTGGGTCATTTTTGAGACAGCACTATAATTTTTGTGGGGAACATTATAAATTATCCCATGAGACATAAGACAATTCTATTGATAGTATCAGTAGCTTAGCCAGTGGTATGGAATTTAGAACATTATTGAGAAAAAGGATAATAAAGGAATGTATAGGGCAGCTTTGTAGATCACAGTGTTTGTTTTTTAAATATTTCATCAGAATATATCCTTAGCATTTTCAGAATTGAACCTTTAAGAAGAAAATAGATTTCTACTTTGGCCCATTTTTATGTCACATAGACAATCCTAGGTTATGTATAAGACCTGTTGTTAGATTGGTCATTAATTTGTACTTATCAATAAATTGGAACAGGTGCATATGGCTCCTATTTAGCCTTCTTTTAGTGCAAGAAAAGGCTCAAAGACCTTTCAGTGATTTAAAAGCTGCATGCGCAGCAATGGAAGGTGATTGTGATGAAAATAGTTATGAGTGAGGATTGGTCAATCTTTTCAAATGACAGCAAGTTTATAGAGCATTAAAGGGCAGATATGAGTTATCTGTAAATTGTAGGGTCATACCCAGGGACTTGTATATGTGTATAAAACTTTGTTCACTATGGAGACTTTGATCAGGATGAAGTTTCAAAATGATCTTTCTGTGTTAGTTTTATTTTATATTTTCTGACTTTTACTTCATTAAGTTCCTTTATAATCTTATTTTTCATTTTTGTATGTGTTTTTAGTTTACTTTGTTCTTTTTCAGTCTTTAGTTTCAATACCTTGTTCAATGTTTTTAAATTGAAAAATCATATTATATGATATAATTACAAAATCCAAGCCTTAACCATATATATTAGCCACATTCAGAAGATTTGATAGGCAATATTAAGAATATTATTTATTTCTAAACATGTTATGGTTTGCTTTGTAGTTTCATAGTTAATTGATGAATTATTTAAAATAATGATTTTTCATTTCAAAACATGTATCATTTTATTTATATTTTGCATTTAATTTCTAATCTCAGGGACCCTGATCTGAATACTTGCTCTTCATGATATTGAATTCTTGGAGTTTGCTGAATTTTTAAAAAAGTTTTATTGGCATATAATTCATGTACCATAACAAATCAATTGTTTAAATATATTAAAAAGAGTTTTACATTCATCACCACAGTCAATTTTAGAAAAATTTCATTTTTTTATCTATTATTATTAGCTGATCATTGCTTCCAACTTTTCTTACATAATTCTAAGGATCTGTTAATCTAGTTACTGTCTCTATGGGTTACTGTGTTAGAGTGGGTTGTTTAGGGAAACAAAACCAGTGACAATTATATATGTGTAAGAAAAAAAACTTTATATCCAGTCCAACTCAAGTCCATAGGCACAGTGGTAGCTGGAGCCCCCTTCAGACTCAGCCAGATGATGAAGAAGGTGAGGGGGAAACAGAGCTAACAGGCAAGTGGGTGAAGAGTCTTGTGTTTCCAAAATCAATGGGAGCATAGCGGGGTATCCATAGCTCTTTAGGTCATTGACACACATAGGGTCATGCTTGGTGACAGACACAGAGTCCTTGCTAGGAGAAGGGGAAAGGCCAGAGGACAAGCAATTCTTAGTGACACTCTTATAAAAAGGCCAACCCCCAAGAAAGCATCCTCAGACTATGACCTGATTTATAGGTTGGACTTTACACCTATACTTTCACACAGGTTCAAGTTGACAGGAAAGTTACCCCCTACAATCACCTATCTTGGCTTTCATATAAAGAAAGTCATACCCAAAAGACACAACAATGACAACAAAATAAAACATAGGAAAACTCAGTCCAAGAGAAAGCAGAAAAAAAAAAAAAAAAGAGAAAGCAGAAGCTAGAAACTAGAACATTGGCTGCTAACCTCGAGGAGAGCAGTTCAAAACCAACAGGCACTTTATGGGAGAAATATGAGGCTTTCTACTACTGTAAAGAGTGATAGTTTCAGAAACCCAAAGGGGGTAGTTCTGCCTTGCCCTCTAGGGCCACCATAAATCAAAATTGACTTGAAGGCAGTGAGTTGTTTTGCTCGTTTGTTTATGTCTGCAGTAATCCATTTTCCAACGTGCTCTGAATGGGGGCAAGACTATTCACAACCCTGATCAATGGTCTGAGGAAATTCAATAGAGGATTAATCCATGTAGGGAATCTGCAAATGGATTTGGACTTTCTCTATCATCCAAAGCCACCTGCAAACTAGGTGCTCAGAAGTTAAGTTCTAATACAATTCCCTCCTTCTGATCTTGGATTTTATTATTTACAATCCATAGGTCACATGGACTGGTCTGCTCCCTCTGTGTGAACTTAGTGTAAACCTCATGTAAAGAGCTACTTTTTTTCAAAATGAGCCTTTAAGACTCCAGATGCTATTCTTTCTAATAGTTGGGCGTGGTCTTGTTTCTTTACCACACTTTATTACAACCCCCATCTCTTCAGTTCATGAAGGCACATATATAGCCAGGCCACATATGAACTAGTTGTTCTCAGATTAGATTTTAAGACAAATTTTGAACTCAAACTCCATTAATATATCTACAGTTTATATATGTATCCCTGGTCTACTTTAGAGGCAGCATTATCAGCTTGTTGAGAAAAAAATCTAAGAAACCTCCATGAGTCACTTAATAATTCTAATAATAGTATCAATAATCTCACCTATGGTATAGATTTTAAAATTCTATTGATAAACAGAAAGTATACATAAATAGGAAAGTTTTTAGACTAAAGTACATGTTATGTTCAGTTATACAAATAAACAACCAAAATGGGTGCTTGAATACATTTTCAGTATTTGTGAAATAATTCCTATGTAATAGTATACAATTTTTAAGAGGAACAGTGATAACTCTTCATAATATTGCTGTTTAAAGACTTTAGTTATACAACAAATGAGTGAGTCTCACTCCTATTAAAATGATCTACTATCTTAATAACTATTTAGCGCCAGAATGAAAGTTCTTATAAATATTCTAAGGTAAAAACAAAATAAGTGATATAAGTAGTAAGAATGAAAATAGCAGATTTCTTTTGGAAGATAGCATGGTCGAATATCTTGAAAACACTAAAATAATACTAAAACTCAAATTTAAAGCATACCTATTTTAAGTGGGTATTTATGAGAAGTGTTTAAAAATAATGGACTTAGTAGTAGAAGTAGGTAGCTAGTAGGTAACTAAAACCACATCTTAAATATTTAATAGAAAAATAATAGATTTAGAAAAATGAATCCTAAGTAGCTACAAGGGAGAATAGAGTTAATGTTTATATCTTGAAATGGCCTCTTTATAATTGAAAATAAAAAGACAACTCAAAAATCATAGAATATATGGATATAGAATTCAATTTTGAGTAAATTTAAATGTCCCTGAATCATGTGAAAATATTCTCAGATTTACAGATATAGGTATATTATTTTATTTCTCAGACTAGCCAAACTTTAAAAAAATGTAAAATTTATTGTCATTGGGAATGTGGTAAGTATGGACTATTGATTAATATTTGCATGTAACCATACAAATAACCATTGTAACCATTTCGTCACATTTGTTACATATCAAATAGTAAAATCTTTCACATAAGATATCCCAATTCTGTACAATATCTCTTTAAATAAAAATATCTGTAAGTAGGGCTATACTCTCGTATTGCTTCCATTGTCTCTTGTATCAATGAGGATCTTCACTAAGAGAAACTGTATGTTCTATTCCATTTCTAAAATACTATGGATTTGTGACTGCAGAGAGACTGGAACAAACCCTTCAACAATTCTTGGTGTATGTGACTTATTTTCGGGTCCTGCTGTCTTTCCTTTTCTTCTCCTCTACCATCCCCATTAGTTCTTCAAGCTTCTTCTCTAAATATGAGTTCAGTGATTTTCGTATTTCCTTCATCTTCCTCCGATGAGATACACACACATAGAATCTACAGTAGAAAGAGAAGATAATTCCCATTTCAAGATCAGCATCTCAATTATTTAAAACAATAATACGATTGTTTTCTCTGTCATTTGGGTACTTCTAAAAGGTTTCCTAAGGTTTCATCATCCCCCCTCCTTAAGTTCCAACTGTTCTTCGGTCAAACACCCAGCCATTTTATTCTTGTCTTCGACATAGGCCAGTCTGGCAAGAACGCCTTTCTTCTTCTTCCCATGGTAGGAGGGTGGGTTTTGAGTGGTCTCTTTGCCAAAGCTAGGCTTTCACTTCGTGTTTGTGTGGAGTGCATAGAACTCACAGTAACAAAGAGCTTCCAAACACTACCGCTTCTGCCAGCAATATCAGAAATAGTGTGATCTCTCGATTCTCAGCCTTCCTTGATTCATCTTTGGGAAACAGAAAGGAGAAAAAGAGAGTGTTTTAAAAAGATAAATAATAACTTGAAACCTGTACCCAGAACAGAAGTCTCTTGTCTCATCACATAGTTGCCTGTGTGGATTACACTTCCTTGATTACTCTGGCGTTTTCATATTCTACAATCCTAGACTTTGCATCGGTCTGTCCTTGTCACCCTCTAATCTAATTTCTCTACCGTAGATCCAGTTTTTAACTATCTCATTTCTCAACTCTTCAACTGGTTCCGTGCCAGGTATTCATACAGGTACACGTTTAGTTCAGCAGTTTAGATCTCTAAAAGCAGCACGGAACGATTGCATTAAAGTGGCCTGCAATTACTGGCACATCGAAGGTGCTCAACAATATTTATGAAGTCAATGAACAATCCAATTATTGATCCTTCAAACTGCCACACCACAATCTTTATTTATTACCTCCACAATACTCCCCTTTGAAGCAGTGGGTGGTGATACGAAGACAGCTCCAACAATCAAGAACGGGACCTTCAGTCACAACTGACAAAGATAGACAGATAGTCAGAAGGAACCATGCCATTAAGGTTTTTTAGGTAAAATAGTAGGAATAGATTAGAGCTCAGGCTTTCCTTGAACCCTTAAATTCACATTGCTAATAATTTCTCCTTCCCCCATTAATCAAGTTTCTTGATGACTCAAAGGCCTTTGTAACTCAAGTCAGATTTTTTTTGGTGGGGGGGGAGAGGTGGGGGAGTTGGGATGTGGGGAATATGGTACCTTAACATACATTGGTGAAATAGATGGAAAACTATACTTTTAGAGGCACAGCATAGCTCCCAAATCTCTTGAATGTCCAAAGTTTGATTAACTAGATTTTATTTTCCTAGTACCCATTTTAACCACATCCCTAGAAAATCAGTTAGAAGTGTGACAGGTAGGGAAGAGAGGGTCATAGACGTGTGATGGGTAGGAGAGGCTCATGTATAGCATAGAAGTGGGAAGCCATGAACTGACAACTGATACTGTACTCACTGCAATCTTCGGAACAAGCTAGAAAAGAATCAGAAAGTTCTAATGAGAGCTCATAAACATATATATTGCCATATTCACACCAAAATAACCCGCTTAGAACCCTCTAAGTTCCAGCAACCCCTTCATCCATTCTAAATTATCTTAATGTAAACCTGCATTCCTCCTCTCACCCTTAATTTTCTATATCCTCTAGTGTTTTTAGATAGGTATCTTTCATTACCAACATCAGAGAATGTCTTTAATGATTCCTTCATTTTGGACTCCAGGTTCTGCCGGACTTCAAGAAGCTTGCCTTGAAGGATAAAGGCACCTGAGAGAGGGTGGCCCAAATGTCAGAAACAGTGGTCACCTTGCCCTTCAGGTTTTAAAAACGAGTTTCTTTGTTTTACGTTGTCCCCCACCCCCCGTCCATGTTCCTTATAATTGCTTGGGCAATACAATTTCTAACACTGAAATAGTACTTAACCTTTCCATGTTTCTTTTTCCAGTTTCTCAATTTCGGTTTTCAGCCATTTTCTCAAGTTAACAACATTGTGGACATCTAGAGAACAAAGGGAAAGTTACATGTGAGGGATTAGTTACATCGTGGAAAAAATGTGGATCCCAGTGCTGGCTTCCCTGCCTCCCTTCTCCCTTTAACCCCTCAAAATATTGGGGAACCAAGCATCCCTCACCCAACACCCGGAGCATCTTGTTCCTGTGGGGGACGGTGGAGCTGGTATGGATAATCTCCTTAATTTGCCGTTGAACAAGGAAGTTTCGACCAGGGACTTCTGAGGGGATCAGCTTTTCTATCAAGGTCTTAATATCTTCTGTGAATTTGGGGTCACATTCCAGACAGCCTTTGACCTCACGGAAAGCTACTACAGATAGGGAAAGGAGAAAGAGTAACCACAGGTCACCCATCTCCTTTCCCAAACCCTGGCTCCTCAACAGCGGGTTGTCTTGGAAACTGGTTCACGTAGTTCTTTTTCCTCCACAAATCCAGAAATGAGAGTTTTCTAATAGATAGTCTGCCACCACCGTTCCCACTCGTTCCATCTCACTTCCAGGCAATCTCATTTCCCTAAGAATCTTAAGTGATTTTCTGACTTTTATCCTTCATTCCAGGGAGAGGACCTGCCAGCTGAGGAGCAGATACCTGAGTTCTGAGTGTAGAACACAGTGAGGGAAAGAAATCCTGAGGTCATAAAAGCAGAGTTCTCTCTAGGTAGATAGATGTCCCAGAAAAAGTGTCACTTTAGTTCTTTCTTGCTTGTATCCTTAAGTGGATTCTTACATCTCACCTGACCATCTTTATTCACCTTTCTGAAATTTCTAAAGTCTTCTGAATCTTCAATAGCTTCCATAATCTGTCTCCTCAATGGAAACTTTACTGTAAAAGTAAAATACTGAAAAGAACAGAAGGACTAAATCTTTGATTTCCTTTTCTTCATGTCTGAATATCAGAATGGGAAATACTTGGAATTTTAATGATATGGCTCTTATTTTTAATGGACAAAGTGGGGATTGAGAAGGTCTTATAAACAAGTATCTTGGAAGAGGTCAAGGTGGAATATAACAAGAGGATCCATAGTAAAAGAGATCATATAGAATTTTAGAAATTGTTGAATCCAAAGTTCACTTTTACAGAGAAGGTAAGAGAGGCCCAGATTTATATGGGATCCCAGCCCCTACCGGTAGCAGAACTGTTGAGAATTAAGGAATGTCTACATAATTATAATGTATAATAATTAAACATTTAATTCATTTTTTTAGAGATTTGGAGCGCTTCTGTCCATTAAACTCATATTATGACCCTGTAAGCTCTACATCGATTATTTCACCAGCCTAGTTATGTGACCCTATTCTAATTTTCTTCTTAGAGAATTGATGGATTTTTATTATTGTGTTGGTGAAGAACATTGAATGGAACATGGATTGCCAGATGAACAAACAAATATATCTTGGAAGAATGCAAGAAGGCTCCTTAGAAGTGAGAAAGGTAAGACTTCATCTCATAACTTTGAACATGTTATCAGGAGAAACCAGTCCCTGGAAAAGAAAATTTTGCTTGACACAATGGAAGGCCAGTTAGAAACAGAACAACTCCTAGGTGATGGATTGATCCAGGTCCTGCAACAATGGGTTCAAAAATAACACCATGGTGAGGACGGTGTAGAAACAGGCAAAGCTTCATTCTTCTGTACATCTGAGCTATATGAGCCGGAACCAGTTGGATGGCACTTAACAATAACAATAAAATATGACAAAATAATAATAATTTATAAATTATCAAGGGTTCATGAGGAAGAGGGTAGTGGGGAGGGAGGGGAAAAGTGAGGAGCTGATACCAAGATCAGCAAATGTTTTGAGAATGATGAGGGCAACAAATGTACAAATGTGCTTGACACACAATTGATGTATCTATGGATTTTGGTGAGCTGTACGAGCCCCCAATAAAATGATTTTAAAAAAATAAAGAAAAGAAAAGGGAAACAGGGCAAGAGTGAAAGCTAACAATAGAATGGGTAGCAATAGAATATAGATATCCTCAAAATTTTCCCACTCTAAGACACAAAGCTACTATAATGTAATTATTATGGACTGCTCAAAGAAGACCTGAATACTCACATAAATACACACTACGTTCATAGGATATACTGACAAAAGAGCACAACATGTGAAGTATCAAAAGACCATGCCGTTTGTGATAGGCAGGCTTATTGTGCCAACCTGGCCAATGAACACATGTGGGTTAATTGAAGGGCGGAGAGATAAATGGCTTGGCGAGCCTCACCTTTCTTGTCTCTTGCTCTTTGATGATTGGACCAGTGTGTGGCTACCTTAACTGGTTCTCTGCCTCAGTTTTCAAGATACACTACCTGTGTGACACCCAACCTGTGGACTGTGTCACTGTAGTTTGAGGTTCCTTCAAAACCTGCTTTACCACGCTACTGGAGTATACATCACTTGAGCTGGGGACTGTCAGACCCTGTCATCTGGCTGACTGTTGGTGACCTGCCTTGCTCTTTATTGCCTGTGGCTGGATAGCCTGACTTTCTCTACAGAGGACTCAGCTGTCTGCTTCCTTGACTTGCACCCGGCGACCCTCAAGACTTAAAGGGCTGCCAGTGTATTAACTGTCTCACAGAAGTGACTTGCACTGAGCCATTTGTACTGTACTATAGACTAATTAATTGTTTATTTTTATGTGATCTATATACCTATCAATATATATATTGATATATATCAAATATATATATATATTTCCTAACAATTTTCTCTAGTTTTCTGGCTCCATTCAGCATCTCTAGAAGAAATTCCTATGTGAATTTGATTAAAACTTATTGTTTTCCCCTTACATCTCTGGCTACCTTTCTTTCTTTTTTAACTAAAAGATCATTTTATTGGGGGCTCTTACAGCTCTTATAACAATCCATACATCAATTGTATCAAGCTTATTTGTACATATGTTGTCATCATTATTTTCTAAACATTTACTTTCTGTTTCAGCCTTGAGTATCAGCTCCTGTTTTTTCCCCTCCCTCCCCCACCTCCCACCTTTGTGACTCCTTGATAAATTATTATTATTTCTAGATCTTACACCACCCACTGTCTCCCTACCCTCATGATTTCTGTTGTTCATTCCCTGAGGGGAGTATGTGTGGCTATATATCAATTATTGCAACCAGTTCCCCCTTATTCCCTTCCTCCCAATCCTCCTATTATCTCTACTCCAATTCCTGTTCCTGGATTCTGTATGTCTTGCCCATAGTGAAAGGTAGGACTAGGGTAAGGAAGCCTCAAGAAATCAGAGGAATATTGTGTTTCATCATTGCTATACTGAGTTAGTTTATTGTGCCAAGCCTGGCCGATAAACACATGTGGGGTTAATTGAAGGGCAGAAGAATAAATGGATCAGTAAGCCTCGCCTTTCAAGTTCTCGGGTCTCTTGCTTTCTGATGGTCGGACAAGGGTGCAGCTGCCTTAGCCAGTTCCCTGCTTCAGCTGGCAAGGGTCACTTCCTACAAGGCATCCCCGAGAAGAAACTGTATAGACCTACCCTGATGTAGCCCTGGGTGCTGGAGATGGAGGAGGACTTTGTGGATTGGTTTCGGACATAGGGGTTAATGTTGGACTTGTGGGCTTGGGCAGCACTGAGATGAGATGTTTTCTTGACGTGCACTTAACCTTTATGTAAAACTCTCTCTTATACGTGAGTTTCTGTGGATTTGTTTTTCTGAAGTACCCAGACTAACACATTATGGTACCTTGGGAGTGGGGTACTAGAGAAACACATCATAAGATGGAGAGTAGATGTTTGTTTGACCTCTCCTCATGGTAGTTTGTCTTCTTTGTCTAGCCAGAGGTCAGATAAAGCCACACGCAGGGAAACATATGGGAAGTAGGAAAATGGAAAGTTTGTAAGCTACTTGCTGTCAGTCACTAAAATTTGATCTTTAGATGGATTTAGGCCATACCTGAAAAGAAAGCTTTGAAAATATATGCCCCCACAGTCCTTTGGGGTACTCAGGAACCAGTAGTCTTTGTCAGAGATGGAAAAAATCTGGAACCATGAAGAAAACTCCCCTCTAAGACTGAATGTTAAAGGGAGCCTGAGAGCAGGCTAAAATGCTTGCTAGGTGACCACCTGGATCTACTTGAATGGAAGTGGGAGAAATACAGCAATAAAGAAACAGTATGAGTTTGGTCACTGACACCTGTGGACTTGGTTTACAGGGGAAAAGTAGAAGACAAGAGTGGGTTGACTGGTCTAAGGTTCATGACCTAGCCCGAGGGGGCTAGGCTTGTTGAGTATTTTTGAGAGCCCATGGTCTAAAGGCAAGGCGACCAATGGTCACCCTGAGGAGGCTGAGTGAGGCAGCCCACATTGAGTTGACCAGAACCTGACCAGATGGAGAATTTTAAGCCTGTGAACTGGTGAATATTGTTGTTGACTTTATGGATAGCCTGTCCAGATTTAACTCTGCTTATGGATGCAGACTTCACAAGGTTCCACTGGAATGAGTATTTCTTCATGTTAAAAAGTATGATTGTCTCATCAGAGCACTGGGTTGATGTAAGTGGGCAATATATAAATTGGATACCCAAAATTGGGGCGATAAAGGCATGAAGTGGTTGGCTTACAAACTTTCATAGGTGGGGGAACATATTCACAGAATTATAGGATTAAGGCGTAGGTGTTGCTTAATTGCAATTGTGAGGCTTAAGAATGATGTACAGGTGCCAAGTTGGACAAGGGTGGATTGAGTTACTGTGCCAACCTGACTGATAAACACATGTGGATTTAATTGAAGGGCAGAGGGATAAATGGCTCGGTAAGCCTCGCCTTTTGAGTTCTCAGGTCTCTTGTTTTGTGATGGTTGGACGAGGGTGCAGCTGCCTTAGCCAGTTCCCTGCTTTGGCTGGCAAGGCTCACTTCCTACAGGACATCCCTAAGGAGAAACGGCAGGGACCTACCCTGATGCAGCCCTGGGTGCTGGAGCAGCCATATGGAGACCCCTGCCAGCACTGAGATGCTTACACATTCACTGACTAGGCTTTCCTCCTGCAGTCGGTGTCATTGCGTGTGTACTGTGAGATTGAGGAGGACTTTGTGAATTGATGTTAGACATATGGATTAATGTTGGACTTGTGGGCTGGTAAAGCACTGGGTTAGGATGTTTTTTCTTGATGTGAACTTACCCTTTATATAAAACTCTCTCTTATAGATGAGTTTCTGTGGATTTGTTTCTTTAAAGTACCTAGACTAACACATATACTGTGCCCCGGTTGACTTGTTCTTTCCTTGTGACCTTTCTGGTAGCACTCACTTGTCTATAACAGGAAATTTGGAAGACAGCTAATTGGCAAAACTGGAAGAGATCAATATTTGTACATGTGTTCAGCAGTGTTCTCCAGAG